TGTGATGATAGCATTAAAAATATAAAAGGATTTATGCAAAAATTCAATAATTTTGTCACATTTTTGAAATGTCAGCACTTTTGGAGGGAATATTCATGATATTTTGTTATGTAAATTAATAGAAAGTTGAAGTTGAGTTAACTTGTCTGGTACAGAACTTTTGTGTAATATTTTTTTTTTGAGAATGAGAGAATATTTTCAGAGCTGTGATCATTGGTTCAAAGTATTTTTACACGTTTTACATTATTTTGGCATTGAAATTTACGTGTTGAAAACATTTTTACTTATTTATAATTGATAAAAAATTCTGATTTCAATCATTTTCACTCAAATTTTGATTTTTTTATTAATTTTGATTCGTTTTTAATATTTTAATTTTCAGTATATATTTTTAATTCAAAGTTCATGCTTTTTCTGTTCCATTTTCCCATTTCACTGACTATTACTTTACTGAGAAATTCTTGAAGCTTCAAAGTGATAGAAGAACGTTCGCTAATGTGAAAATACTGACCATGAGTGTATTACTTATGAATGTTTTAAATCATTTTTGCCATGCATAATAGATACTTTTTTACGTGAGTAATAAATGCATTATGCGTCTGTTTCTATTTCATTATTGCTTTATTATTTAGTGTGTACTCGGACTAAGCTTACATTTTTCATAAATTATAAATTCTAAATCATTCAGAATAAATAAATTGTGAAAAAAACCGAATCAAAAATATTCATTTTTTGTGCTTTCTCAGCAAATTACATAATTTTTATGGACTATAAGAATTCAGTGCCATTCCATAATGGTAGAAAAAGATTGGTGCGAATTTGTACGCACTTTCAGAATGCAGCAAAATGCATTCAGAAAACACTAAAAGCATTGATCTTACTTACTTTCAAATCTTTTCTGTGAAGTAATCAATTCGACAGATATTATGGGAGTCCCAAACTAGCACGGCGGATAAATGACGAAAATGCTTGATGCGGATCGAACTGTAATAATAGGCAAAAATTTATCAAAATTTTTGTTAAGCGACTATTAACTTTATTCTGTTTGATTCAAAAATATCATGTGATAAATTATAGATGAAGACTTGAACAATTGACTTATCGGATCACATAACTTAAACGATATTCTAATTTAGGCGTGGTGATCATGCATATACAACATATTTTTATCTACCTATATGTTTTTATTTACCTATATATTTTTATCACCTAAATGTTTTTATTTACCTATATATTTTTATCACCTATGTGTTTTTATTTACCTATATATTTTTATCTACCTATATGTTTTTATTTACCTATATATTTTTATCTACCTATATGTTTTTGTTTACCTATATATTTTTATCTACCTACATATTTTTTCTTCCAGAATCAGACATATATATATCTAAAATTCAAGCAAGGAACTATGAAGCACAGCTGAAAAATCTTGCACATTCGAAGTAGTGTAGCTAGAAAAATTTTTAAAAACGGTAGACAAAGACTGTATTTACAGTATTAGTTCCAGGTCAACTTTTTGAGGACTGAAACGCATATATCAGTTGAAAGATATGCGAGTAAATAAGAGTTGAGGACATGTGTATAATTTTCAAGGAGCATTCATTCAGTCCCCAGATAAACTGATAAATTTACTGCCTCGATTTTTGCTTAAATTGCTCCACGCATTGCTTTTATTTTCATGCAGTCTTGATTAGATTTACGACAAAAAGCGATCTTTGATGCATTAAATTATATAAAGCTGAAATTGGCTTGTGATGAATTCAGGCAAAAGTAATAATGAAAGTATTGTTTTTAGTTTCCTTTCTTTAATTACTAATTTTTAGTCAACTGTATTTGGACTGTTGTTAGTAGTGCTTGATGTTTGCTTATAAACTATAATTTCATTTTTGTTAATAACAAGAGTTTTTTTCACTTCTTTTCAAAGTAAAGCATACAAATATGATGTATACTAGAAGGATCAACTAATTAATCGTTCATAATTGGAAACTTCTAAATCCAATTCACAAAATGAAATGTAACTGATGAGAATTATAGTTCACAAGCGAAGATCACAACAAAAACATACACAAAAAGTATAGAAAGCTTCAAGTCTAAGCTAGCAGCGTTTTAAGCTTGGCCATCACTGTTTGCGCTCAGTGCAAGTAGATTTAATGCCTATTTTTCATTGCTGAAAGTAAACACACGTAAAATATGCCTTATCACTAAACAGTGCTCACATGCGTCTTTAATTTTCCCTCAAACTATTTTTATTTTAGGCCTTTAATATAAATGTTATTATGCCCAACTGAGCCCTTGCACACATATGCAAACATACAGATAAGTAAACAATAGCATCCGTTTTCTGCTTTTTCAGAGTTTACCCAAAGATTGCATATATTTTCATAAAAGGTTCAAAATACTCACAACTCATGCATACTTTAGTTTCCTTCACTCTGAGCAATTCATATTCTCCTTGCACTTAAAAAGTAACATTTCTTAAAAATTCTGAAAAAGTCAAATTTTATTCTGACTTTAAAATGGTTGAATTGCTCAGTTAAGTTACACGTACGTTTGTTGGATTATATAAGTTTTTAAGTTTTTTGTTTTGTTTTTTAGACGGAAAAAAACGTATGCATAGTTGATTTTATATTTTACAAATTGCTTTGAATTCATAAAGACATTACATAGTTGAATGATCTGAAGTTAACTCGATGGGAACTGATTGCTCATCCATTAAATCCTTTTAAATTCCTTTCTAATCTAATTTACTTTAATGATTTTTTAGCATTTTTGCAATCGACACATATTCGTTTTTTGCAAAAACATTTAAAGTAAAATATAACAAATATTAATTTCCACGCTTTTAGCAGTCTAAAAATTATTTGGCTTTTGCCATATGCTACTGCAATGTTTCTTTAAATAATTGAAAAAAATCTTTATGTTCTATTCATAGCAAATTTTTTTTATTTAAATAATTTATAGATAATAATTGAAGCATTTCTTATTTTCAGTTTTTCCTTTACTACAAATTGCCATTGTTTGATTCGTTGTAACTTTCAGTTCAGTTTATTATTATTAAATGAAATTGAGCTTTTGCAAAAACAACAAAACAAAACACATTTTAATTTTATAGCAAATGAGTGGTTTTTCTGTAATTCACAAAAACATTCAGAAATTCAAAACTCTTTTTTTTAAATAATATGTTTGCGCTTACTTTTCATTCAAAATTATACCCTTAAAAAAAATTATTTCTGTTTATCTATGCAGACTTCAATTAAAAATAATTAAATTTCTGTCGGGTGTGTCACAACAGCAAAAATGTCTGCACAAAACTCCTAATTAATCTTTTAGACTTACTAAAGTTTAGAATAAAAATTATTCAAGTTTATTTATAGATAAGTTTTTATGAGCATATTTTTTGCAGAAAGTATTTGTTTGGCTATTTTGCTGAAAAATTCGAATAAAGAGATAAAACGTTTGCTGTAAGGCAAATGTAAAATATCTCAAGCTTGAAATTTTAGTTTTCCGGTGCACTGAAATGATAAATAATTTAGTTAATAATATTAATATTAATAAAAAACGTATCCATAAATAAACTTGAATATTTTTCTTAGTTATGCTTTTTGGTTATTAAAAATTGCGTACAATTCAATAAACTTATTGCATGTTTGGCTAATTAGCAAGCTTTCTTAATAGCAGTCTGAACAATAATTCTTAAATGCATTAAGTGAACACTTACGTAACTTTTAATGGAATCTTTTGAATAATTTTTTGTTTGCAACTAAGTATGTATTGATTGTTTTTACTGAATTTTTTAGCATACTTTGGATATCAATTCTTGTCTGAAAGCTTTTCTCAAAACAGTTATTCATCACTACTTATGCTTAAATCATACACATAACAATTGCAATATCGAAAATATATTAGCAATTATTTACTCTTTTGTCTTACTTTATTCTTGATTAATATGAATTTTTTAACGAAAAAATCTTAACATTTTATTTGCAAAGATATTTTATGGCTAAATATTAATTTTCAGCGTTTGTAATTGACTTTCAAGCAAGCATTGAAAGAGCTTAGCTTTAAGTCTAATCTTTATCGATGCACCGATTATCTTGTTTAATTTTTTTCTGATACCATTAGGCCTATGCTGATTATCTGCATTGAATGCGACATATACTTACTTGAATGTAAAATCTTTCAACGTATCTTAGTCTTCGATAACTTGACTAAATTAGTTTGAAGTTTCAAAACCATTTATTGATCATTCCATGATTCAAAAACTATACTTGCTAACTAGCTTAATCGAAATAATGTCAGTCTTAATTTAAATTATATATATTTTAAAAATCACATATTGATGATATATCTAATACTTATTATTCTGTTTTGCGTAGAGAACAACAAACATTTCAAGTAAAATAAATGAATTCACATGTCGAAAGGTTGCTTCTGCGTAGCGGAAAATGAAAAATAGCTTCAGTGTCCTCATTAGCTTCAGTATAATTTATTCAAACATCTGCAGTGCTATGTTGTTTTGACAGCATCAGTTATTGTTGTGCATTGTTTACTGGATAAGTTATTAGTGCTAAGAGCAGAAGGAAGCTTTTTGTTTATGAGATTATTGTGATAAAAACAGGCAAAAATAAAATTTAATCAATCAAACGCTAAATAATCGCTTTCAACTCATGAAAACAAGCTTTTCCTCCCACTGCCATTATCTCTATAAAAAACAGTTGCTTTCTGAAGTCATTACTCCATCGTTCTCAATTCCTTGAGATATATGTTTTTATTTGATTATTCTTTTTCATATTCTAATCGTATGCTTTAGATATTTCTTTGTTGTGCAACTTTTTAGATTCTATTTCGAATGTGCCAAATGTCAGAAATTTATTATTTATTGACAAATTGATAATTTTCACAGTTAACTGATCAAAAATTGATTGAATTTACTTAAACTGAGCTGAATTGCTATGCACAATCTGAATTATATTCAAGCATCTGACAACGTGTCGAAAATGCCGTCATTTCGTAGTAAATGTGGACGACGTTTACCGGCAACTCCAAGCATACCTAGACTACAAGTTCATCTACCACAAACTGCTCCATCAACGCCACGTCCAAAGCTTGTAAATACACAAAACAAGATGTCTTCCGTGGAATCTGATTATCTATTCCCCTTTCAGCATAACGAATCGGTATACTTTTTCAAGTCAAAGGATTATTATTAACTGAGCTCTAAAATATTCTTAAAGTTTGCAAGAATTTGATAAAAATATGACGGAATTCGGATGTTGGGCACAATTTGTAGTAATTTATTAAAGATTTTAATAAAATTTCATTGTGGTGCTTTATAATAACGATATTATCAAATTTAAAGTGACATTTTCGGAAGTATGAGTGATTGAAATACGAAACTTTATGGCATTTGCAGTTAGTTAACTTGATAAAAACCCGTTAAAAACACTTTTTTGAACAATTATTTTGCTATATCAAATATAACGTGTTACTTGATACTTGAATACTTGAATAAATTCAAAAGCCCCATTAATTCGATACTCGAAAAATTGACCATTTTTACTCGATAGAGACTAATATGCATACGTTTTACTTATTACACTACTTGAATCTTTGTTTTACGCACTATTTGAGATCATGCAGTTTGATAGAAACAGTTTTGTTTTCTGTACTTTAGAAGTTTGTGATAAGTAATTTTTCTTTTATCAGCTTTAATTGCTCAATTGTAAAGCAAAATGTATTAATACAGTAATATTTTAAACTTATTTTTGAGATTTTTGTAGTTTTTTAATAATTTTGTAATTGGTATTGACTTACTGCAATAAATTATAAGTATTTTTGAAGGATCGAAATTTAATAAAAACAAAAAATACTTATAAAAGAGAATACTTTTCCATCTTTAAAAGCACTTGCAAATTTGTTGTAAAAGTGTAATCATTTGAAAAAATAAATTTTGCAGATAATCAGATTTTGACACGCTTACTTTGAAACGTACTTTAGACTGGTTGATTAGAAAGATTGAAAGCTTTTGACTAAAATAAATTTATGTAAACAAAATTTTGCTGAAAAGCAATTACATTTATTGAATACTTGCTTTTTAAGTCAATTTTCATTTATAGTTAAACATATTAATTTTATTTTTATTACGTAGTATTCATAAAATATTTTAATTCTTTCAGTTTGCAAGTAACTCCAAAATTACACTTTATTTTGCTGACAAATTTTGTGTATTATTTATTTTATCTAAGAAATAAATTTGCATAAAAAGTGAAGAAAAATATTTAATAGGCAATAATTCTATTAATGATTTATTATAATTTACAGACATTAAGTGATGTGAAGAATGAGGCAAAAGAAGCAAGCAGTGGTGAATACGTAAGTGATGAGGCAGATAATCGAGAACCTTCGATGGTTCACGTAAAGGAGCATAGATATCATCAAAATCGTAATTTGGATGATAGGTTAGTTAGTTTTGCTTTGATGATTTAATAATAGACATAATGGTAAACTAGAAATGCAATTAAGGTTAAATGCTGATGAAAATGAATAATTTATCCATGAATAAATAATTAATTAATCCATTCTAATATTGGTCATACTTTTTTTACAATGACCTAATAGTAAAGCTTGTACCAATTTTCATAAAACATGATTAACACCATAGTTGTTGTAATTTTTTAATAAATATTAACAAAATTATTATTTAAGCTAATAATTTGCAGAACATATCAGAATGTGTGAATAGACTGATTAAAGAAACTTTGTAAGATCTAAATTGTTGTTCAAGTTCTAAGATACTAAGTCAAGCAAATTTATCACAGCTAGAAGTTTAAGTCAGTTATTTGTGTATTTCAGAGCGGTATCTGAAAAGAAATGAATTTAAGGAGCTTATTAATAAGCATAATTTTTTTAGTTTCGCTTTTATGTTCCATATTTCCGAACTTTTAGTCGTAAAATGCGATTCAAAAAGTGTCAATTGTAAAATTTGAATTGCGAATTAGCCTTTCGTGCCAGGCTGTTATTGCCAAAAATCTCACATTTTGCAAAATTTTTATTGCCAACTTTAAAAATTCTCATTTTACTTCTAAAATGCTTTAGAATGGAGTGGAATTTTTTGAAAGAGTTCATCTAAGCTATCATTTTCATTTTCATTTGTATTTCCTTACCAAAATAATATTCTCTACGAGACAATTTTACTTATTACTGCATTTGCATTGAAAATTTTATTATAACTCTAATTTTTTGCTGATTTCGTTTGAATTAATTAATGTTTCTGCTCAATGCATCGAAGTTTTTAAGTGAAAATTATCAAATTTTATGAGATGTTATAAAAATACTTGCCTAGTCATTGGCTACTTTTCCACAATAATCCCATACGTATTATTACAATTGCAAATTATTAAAATGCAAAGTGTCAGCTGTCTTTAGCACAACATTTACAAATTTCCCTATCAAAACAACTCAGTTGAAATATTTCAAAAAGTATAACAATTCGAATTGCCGTAAAATATCATTAAAATTTTTATTAGAAAATACAGCAAAGAATATATTTGCCTACTTTGAAAAGTCAAACTTTGCTTTATATTATCGCTGAATCCTTTGAATACTTTCATTAAAATAAGCAGTGAAAGAGATATCAACTATAGCTTTATTAGTATTGCAGTACGTAAATTGAATTTAATTAATTATTCCCTAGCAACTACTGCAGCAGTTCAAAAGAATCATCGACGAAAGTTATTACATGGCTCGAATGTGAAAAGTGAAGTGTAAAACGCGTTGTATCCGCAAACATAATTCAGAAATTTTGTCTTCTTTGTGTTTATATTTCAAATTCTTTGTCTAGCATTCATACTAATGATAAAACAATCTAAAATATTAGCTAATGAAGGATTTGTAAATTTCGAAAACTAAAAGTTAACATTTGGAGCAAAGTTCTGTCTTATTCAGAAGAATTTCTGTCTGAATACTGCCTGAAAACAAATTTTAGACATTTATTTGTATTACTTTTGAAATAAACATTGATAATAATAGCAGCAATAATTGAATTATAATAAGAGCAGAAATTTTGCAATAATAGTAAGTTTTTCTACAATATGCAATAAATATTATACAAATATTAATAAAGTAAGTCAATTTCAGCCCTCCAAAGAAATGGCGGTAATAATAATTATGGTACTAATGGTGCTAGCAATAAATACATTAAAATCAGAGTTCATTTGGCATTAATAAAATTTAATAATTTGTTTTGAATTTAGAAGAATATGTATAAAATGAGTAATCTTTTCAAGAATGATTAATTGATCATTTTTTAGTTATAAAAAGTTAAGCAAATCGCTGTTTTATATAATAATGAAAAATGAACAGCGGTATTGTTGATTTTGACTCGAGCTGATCTGACTTGATGTGATCCGCTTTTTTCACTTACATTATTGCTGACTTTTTTTAAGGATAAAATATTGACGAAAGTAAGTTACTTAATTCATTGCCCTCATTTATATAATTATTTGAATGATAAAAGTAATTATTACTTTAAAATAGTCAAAAGCATTTATTCAGATTTGATTGTAAAGCAACTACTTTATTTAATGAATTTTATAGTTTAAAACAAGTAATTGAATTGCTTGGCTTCAGATTTCATCTTTATCGAAATTGAAAACTTATCGTTATCAAATCTGAGGTCAGCTTTTTGCTTCTTGTTGTACTGTAGCTTAGAAGATAATCTTGCAGACCTATACCATACACTGAATCAGAGCAAGACAGCAGCAAAATAATCACTCTGTTTATTAATTACTTTTTGTTATTTATATCATTTGGGCGATTATTTTTTAAATTGCATCGATATTTTTTTAATTAAGAATTACGGTGGCAATCGAAAGCATTAAAATGAAAAGTAATGTATTACAAATCAAATTCTTCGCATTTTTGTCTGCTAAAAAGTGTTTGAGACGTAAGCGGACGATAATACTATTTTTTCTTCTAAAATTTATAACTTAATCGAACAAATAAATGCATAAATGCTTGCAGACATCTTCCCTTTCCCGCTTTCTGTTCAAAGCAGCGTTGAGTAGCCAACCAAAGGCACAAATGAAAAGCAATGAGCAGTTGTTTTTTTGAATAAATTAGTAATTAATAACTGAATAATTGATATATTTGTTAAGTACACAAAATTTTATTGGTTTCCCATTGAAAATATAACGGAAATGTCACTTTTTTCAAAAAAAGAAAATTCATAAAGTAATTATTTGAGTGAATTTTTGGGATTTATTTTTTTAAACAAATCTTTTTCTTGCTTCGAGTTATTGATTGCCCTTATCGTTTTACTATTCAGAAAAGTAACTTATTACTTTCTCTACTTCAGTCTATAATTACAAACTGATTGATAGTTCATTAGTGTACAAGAACAGCATTAGTACTGATATACAATAAATAATTGTTATAGTAGATGGATCATTTCAAATACTGTTATAGTTACAATTACTGTAATCTCACTATAGCTATTATGATAATAATCATTGTTATTTCCAATGCTATTCAACAGTCAAATACATCAGAAGATGCCATTTCATTAAAAAATAAAATGAATTGTTGATATTTTTAAAATTGAAACTGCTTTTGCCAAGAAATAATTTTTGTCTGAAAATAGCAATAGTAAATTATTCAGCCTATTTTGAATCTAAAAGACTGATTTGTTGCTTTTAAGCTTCAACTTTGACATTTTCAAGTCCTAACTCACAACTTTAAATCAACTGCGAATGCTTAATTTCTAAACTTTACGCAAATTTTAATGCTAACAAGTGTATAAATACATTACTTCGGAAACTTCAGAGAGTAAAATAACAATATAAAAATTAAGTAAAGTTTGTGTTAAATTTTTCTAAAAGAAAATGCGGATGTAATATCGTGAAAAATGAGGCTTTTTTGATCAAATCTATAAAATGTTTAAAATAATATAATGATTCTTAGCTTAATTTCAGAGCTTGAAAAATATGAAAAATAAAACGAAAATAAAATGCTAGGAAGGAAAGGTCATGAAATTGAAGGCAAACGCAGTCCGAAAAATTTGCATTCTGACTTTTTGACCTTCGACCGATTGATCAAACTTGAATAAATTTGTTTTACACATATTTTTGCAATGCTTACTTAGTTAATTTATTGCAATGCTTTTGACTCAAAACTGCGAAAAATTTAGCTTAATTCTTTATTATTCATACTTCCATGCTATATGCAAGACAAAAGTTGGACAATTTCTCATTAGCTAAGAGCTAATATTTCATTGAATTTGAAAATAGATTGTAATGTATTTGTCTTTAAATTTTTTTGGCATTTAGCAAACAAAAGCATTGTGCTTTTAAATCTTCGAATTCTGAATTTCTTCAGGTAATAAATAAGAAGCAATTTTTCAACTGACAAATACAAACTTTGCAAAATCCAAAAAAGTATGAGAGAATAAATGCAAAAGTGAATTAAATCTTTTTATATTTTATATATAAAGAAATAAAATATATATATATTTTTTAATTTTATATCATTTATTTGTATACAAAGATAATTGTGGCAGTCAGTGAAAATTAAAGCTGTCATTTCATTATTTTTATCACTATCGTGTAAAATAAGCTAATATAACTTTATTATTTTTGTTAACGAAATTTTATACAGATTAAAGAAAATTAGTTTATTTTCACTTCTTTCAAAGCATAATAATTGTTATTATTACTGTTATTATTTTATCAATAACAATTTAATAAAAACAATAATAATAATAAACAGTAATAATAATAATAATAATTATTATTATTATTTTTATTATTATTTTATTTTAATTGTCGACAAAATCAATTTTGGTCACTTCATTATTACAAATTTATTCTTCAACCAAGGTTTTATCAATCTGCTGATGATATGATTCTGAGATAGCAAGTATTCTAACATCATTGAATGTCATCAAATTGAATGACAAGTCAGTAGTCTTTTGTACTGCTTGGTAGTCTGTATGATTTATTCTCATTACTGTTATCATTATCATTATCATTTTTTATGTCTTAATAATAACGTTAGTAACGATAGTAGTAGTGTATATAGCAAAGAACTGATAATAAATAAAACAGCAGTAGAGTAAAGCTTAAAGCGTTATTGTTTACAACTGAAATGTGTTTAAGAGTGTTATGGATGATTGATGATGAATGAATGTTTGTCTGATGAGTTTATTTATGTTCATAAATGATGAAGCTACGCTAAGTATAAACTGCTTACGTCACTACACGTCTGCTAGCCATCACACGCTGCAGACATTCACGTATCATTGCATTACTCTGAACTAAGATTAGCATATTTATGCTTAGATCGATGATTTAAGCTAGCATAAGTGAACAATTCTGGATGAGCTAATATCATCTGATCTCATCTGAGATTAACCGAACTTATACTAAAATGAGATATCGATAATAAAATGAAGCACTTCTCAGTTCTGCCATGCAAAGCAATCGCTCACTTTGCTCACTGAAAGCTTCACCACTGTTCTTTTGTCTAGCTTTTCAAATATTAATGAATGTGATTTTCATGCTTTTGTCGTTATTCTTTTTTTTACAAAACATAAATAAGTCATTATTATTCGACAGAAAATTTTTCAAGTACTCTATTTGGCAGTAACTTAATTTTTTATTAATTTTCGATATTCTTATTGTCAGTACTACCATAAATTATTTATTATTGGATTCTTTCTAAAATATTAGCTTACAAACTTTAGCAATACTGCCACTGACACCAGCAATGAGACGATAGTAATAGTAACATTATTGCTATTATATGTCATAATTATTATTATCATTATTATCATTATTACTATTTTCTACAACCAACAGTAACAAAGCAATAATAATAATAATAGGAGCAATAATAATAATAATAATAATA